GTAGAGGTGTGAGCATTTACACCATGGCTGGGGAGTAGTGAATAATCTAGTTTTGACATTTATCTTGCCAATCTCTCGTGAGTAAGGATCAAACTGTTTTCATCTTTGTTTGTCTAATACCTGGTAGGAGGCAGATGTGCTAGATGTTCACTGGTTGGATGGATGGGAAATGAGCCTGGAAAAGTGTCTTGGAAGCATATTGGGGCTCCTAAACCTTGTTAATCTTCTATACCATTTAGGAAGTGTCTTCCAAATACCCTTGTAGGCTGTATCTTGAAAAGTACGATTTAGTAGGCTTAGTGTGGGGCCTAGGAATATGTATCTTTTAAAACTTAACCCACAGGTCATTCAGATATTAGTCATGTTTAAGAACCACTGCTGTCAGAGGACGTTAAATGACCCTGTTGCCAGCCTGAGATGCTAGACTGAGGCATCTTATTATGTGGGTAACAGGAAGCCTATGATGTTATTGGGCAAGGGGATAATGTTACCATGTTCTCCAAGCCCTTGTTACTCAAAGTGTGGTCCATAGCCCAGCAAAATCCACAGCTCCCGGAGTTTGGTAGAAACACAGAATCTCAGAATTCCAATGTGTAACCGAAGTTGACAATCACTGCTATGCACCCAACTGAAGTCATTATAAGACGAATTGGAGAAGACAGCCTGCTTCAAGTGGGTTGGAACAGACCAGATAAGAGGTAATGAGAGCCTGAAGAAGGAGAACGGGGAAGGATCCATTTCACTAAATGGATACTATGCAAATCTCAACTTTCCCCATTTGCTTATAATTGTTGTAGTATTTTTTTCTTCTTCCAGTATCTGAATTTGGAACTACTTTCTTGCTGCCACCATTTTCCAGGGAAGAACAGAATACTAAAAGGCTTCAGGGGTCTAAAGGCTGGGCGGATAAGGGAAAGTTCTTTCCATTGAAGCCTTTAATGGGCCTTTATCCTAGGGTGATTAATAGTCCAGGTTCAAGCTTCATTACCTTGGCTTAAATTTACTAATTTACATATGTTTGGCCATAACCCTTGTTCTACCAAATCAGATACTAGTCAACAATGGCATCCCCCCAAGAAGTAAAGGAGAGCAGGGGACAGGAAGCTCTCCACCAATTTATTAGAATAATAATGACAATAATTGTGATCATAATCACAATAATAATAGACAACACTTATTGTACCAGGTTTTGTTCCAAGCACTTTATGTATATTATTAACATTTAATTCTCACAGGTCTATGAAATGGGTACTCTTGTTATCCCCATTTTATAGGTGAGAAACTAAGGCACAGAGCAGTCAAGGAACTTGCTCAAGGTGACATGATTAGTAGGAGGCAGATTTGAGTATGAACCCAAGCAGTATAGCTCTGGAGGTTATGCTCTCAACCACCAAGATATGCTGCCTGAACTTGACTAGAATCCCCTACAGATGTGTACTGTATTATTAGGTATTCACAGCTCCTAGCCTCAGTGAAGGGCACTAGAAGTTATTCAGAGGTAAAAAAAGGAATTTAATTTTCAAAAATCTTAATTGCCTATTATGTACTAGGGACAGTGTTGGGGTTTTTTTTTTTTAAGATTTTATTTATTAATTAGCACAAGCAGGTGAAAGGACAAAGGAAGAGGGAGAAGCAAGTTCCCAGCCGAGCAGGGAGCCTGACATGGGGCTCGATCCACGACCCTGAGATCATGACCTGAGCCTAAGGCAGACGCTTAACTGACTGAGCCACCCAGGCGCCCCAGTATTAGGCACAGTGTTAATCATGGGGATATAGAGAAAAAGAGCCTCCACTATAAGGAGCTTCCCACAGTCTAGAAGGAGAAGCAGAAGAATCAGCAAATGCAGTACGTAAGATACAGCAGAGTGCACAGGGAGGAGGGGCACTGAGCCTAAAACCTAGGGGCTCAGGGCAGAATTCCTGACTTCAGTCCTGGAACTAAGTTTATTCTCTGAGTTTCACCAAAAGTCCTTAGTATTAGGAGCCCACAGCTGGGCCCACCAGTCTTGAGTCAACTAAAAACTGAAGTATGAAAATTTGAAAAGTAGCAGGAGCAATTCTTCTCTTTCTTTCTGCCTGGGCAATGACTGGTTTTTGTCCATAGATTCTCTTGTGCCTAGTTAGCTGCTGAGGAAGCTAACCAAGCTTTGGTTAAACTTCACTGGAATTTTATAGAATCATGCATACATGAAAAGTGAATCAGTGCCCGCTTCCAGATTTGACTCTGTTAAACAGTTGTCCAAGACAATGGAAATGGAAGCTACTGGAGGCTGAGCAGTGAGGCTACAATTCTGCATTTCTTTCATAAAAACCATGGTCAAATAGCCCAGAAATTGACCCTCATACAGAGTCAACTGATCTTTGACAAAGGAGTTAAAGCAATACAATGAAGAAAAAATGGTGTCTTTAACACATGCTGCTGGAACAACCACACATCCACATGCAAAAAAAAAAATTGCATCTAGACCCAGACCTTATACCCTTCACAAAAATGAACTCAAAATGGATCATAGACCTAAATGTAAAATGCAAAACTGTAACATTTCAGGAAGAGAACACCTAGATGGAGAAAACCTAGATGACACTGGGTATGGTGATGCCTTTTTAGATGCAACAACAAAGACACAACCCATGACAGAAATAATGGGTAAGCTAGACTTCATTAAAATTAAAAATATCTGCTCTGCAAAAGACAAATATCAAGAGAATTAGAGGACAAGCCATGGACTGGAAGAAAATGTTTGCAAAAGACACATCTGATAAAGGACTGTTACCCAGAATAGACAAAGTACTCTTAACATGCAACAATAAGAAAATAAATAACCTGATTAAAAAGTGGGCCAATGACCTGAACAGATACCACACCAAAGACATATGGATGGCAAATAAGCACATGAAAAGATGCTCCACATCATATGTCATCAGGAAAATGCAAATGAAAACAGCTGAGCTTCTACTATACACTTATTAGAATGACCAAGATCCAGAACGCTTGGCAACACCAGATGCTGGCGAGGATGTGGAGCAAGAGAAACTCTCATACACTGGTGGGAATGCAAAATGGTGCAGCCACATTCTGTTGGGAGACAGTTTGGAGGTTTCTTACAAAACAAAATATACTCTTACTGTATGATCAAGCAATTATGCTCCTCGGTATTTACCCAAAGGAACTGAAAACTTCTGTCCACATCAAAACCCCACACACAGATGTTTATGGCAGCTTTTGTCATAACTGCCAAAACTTGGAAGCAACCAAGATGTCCTTTGGTAGATGAATGGATAAACTATGGTGTATTCAGACAATAGAATATTATTTATCCAGTGCTAAAAAGAAATGAGCTATCAAGCCATGAAGACATGGAGGAATTTTAAATGCACATTACTAAGTGAAAGAAGCCAATCTGGAAAGGCTATGTACTATGATTTCAACAAAAGGCATTCTGGAAAATGCAAAGCTATTAGAGATGGTAAAAAATCAGTGTTTGCAGGGTGTAGGGGGGAGATAGATGAACAGGTGGAGCACAAAGGTTTAGGGCAGTGAAAATACCCTGCATATTACAGTGATGAGTATATGTCATTATATTTTTATCCAAAGCTGCATCACGTGCAATACCAGGAGTGAGCTCTAAGATGAACTGTGAACTTTGTGTGATTATTGTGTGTCAATGTAGGTTCTTCCTTGGTTTAAAAAAAAAAAAAAGTACTTTCTGGTGAGTGATGTTGATAATGGGGGAGGCTATGCACTTGAGGGGGCAGGGGTGTATGGGAAATCTCTGTACCTTCCTCTCAATTTTGGTGTAAATCTAAAACTGCTCTAAAAAAATAAAGTTTTTTTAAAAAGATGAAATGAATGAAAACCAGCATGTGGTTCGTGCCCATCCAGGGATGCCAAAAAAAAAAAAGAGAGAGAGAGAGAGGAAAGAAAAGAAAACCAGCATTGTAAACAGTGTAACTACCCATGGGCTCCTGGGTCACAGAGTTGTCCCTTTATATATTTAAATGAGTCCCAAAGCCTCCTCTTGATGTCTCTTTGCTGCATACCTAGCCCCTTCCAACTGGATCTTTTCTTGAGACAGTAACCACTACCAGTAGGCTTTCTTCTCCAGCTTCGTGACATGAAATATTTGTCTGAATATAAGGCCCATTCAAACATTAGAAATAGGTAAGTCTTAATTACTTACATATAGATTTCCCACTTGGATATTGTTTACAACAAATGTTTCGTCCCAATTTCAGTTTTTCCCCATGAGCCATTACATTTTTGAAGGGCCTCCCTTTCCCACAGGTCAGTGTTTCCTTCAGGAATGGTAGCTATTTAAATTTTTATTAACCTAAGAAAAACCACCGCGAGAGCTTCCTTGTCCCTCAAGCTCCTCAGCAAAAGTCACAGTGCATTCAAAAGCCAAATATATTTGATTATTGGATTATGCTTTGCCTGACATATCTATTGCTTCCCATTGTGAATCTTTAATAATTGACCTTCAGGATATCTGCAATATGAGCTTTTCAGCCTCTGCTTCCATCTCTAAAGTCTGAATGACTTGGCCTTAAACATTTACCATCCTCCCGCTTAAAAATCTTCCCACCAGTTTCCTGCTACTCTGCCCTCAAGGTAGTTCTGTCAAAAAGAATAAGAACTCTGAACTCTTCAAAGCCCTGTATTAATGTTTGTCATCTTTAGCTTCAGTCTGGAGAGTAACAGACTTACTGCACCAATTTGAAACATTTTTCCCCATCCCACTTCTTTTAAGTAATCTCTGCACCCAATGTGGGGCTCAAACTCGCATCCCTGAGATCAAGAGTTGAATGCTCCACTGACTGAGCCAGCCAGGTACCCCCCCATCCCATTTCACTATATGCACTCATATCCCCTCCCCTCAACAAAAGACACAGAACAATAACCTAACCCTCTTCTTATCAATAGTAGAATCATTTTTATCATAACTATACAAATTTATTTAGGAACAGAGAGATTCCTTTGAATCTCAACATTTTCTTGGATATACAGTCTTTTTTTTTTTTTTTTTAAGTTTACCATTTCTGGAATGGCTTCATGTTACATCTCTACACACTGGCCCACAAAGAAGGAGACTAGAGATAATGTTCCCGAGAAGTCAACAAATATTCCCAGCCCATGTGGGAACTCTCTTGTGGAAGGTAGCACAGTATTTCACACTTTGGCATTTTTTTTCCTTTCTTTTTCTTTTTTTAAAAAGGAGATAAAATATTACAGAGATATCTTCAAAATTCACACCTGAGTTAAACATTTTGCTGGAAAATTCCACATTCAGGAGAGAACGTAGCTGCAAAAACAAGAAGGGGCTATATACAGGTATTTTGCCAACATAATTGTTATGTGTTTGCTTTTCTGTTCTTCCTCCTGCAGGCAGGGGAAGGGAGAGAGGACCAGATAAGGACAAGGAAGGAGAGAAGGAATAAACACTCCTGAACTCTGGGGCAGGTGTAGAACACAGAAGAGCACCTGTGGGCAGAGAATTGTGCCCATGGGACTGAGGGTGGCTCAGCCTTCTGTAAAGAGGAGGGATCCTGGAGAAGGCCATCATGAGTGGATTTGGTTCTAGAAAAGGGGGCGGGGCTACAGAGAACATGGGGTGAAATGAAGAGTCAGTCAGAAAAGTTTGCTCAACAGAGAGAGCATCCAGGCTTTGGTGGAGACATCAGATTCCAATCTTTTCACAGATTTTAGAGATCGGTTCAGAGATTGTGGCCAAGTTTGGAGTCAAAACCATGATCTCTCCTTCTGGCTGTTTGGCACACCAGGCAAACTGCTGTCCCCAGAAGCCCACAGATGAGTTGGAAAATAACGGCAAGGTGTCCTTTCTCAGAAAGACTACTGCCATAGGGAAGCCATGGGAAGTATTTGGAACAAGGATTGGAGGACAGGGAAAGAAGGTGAAAATGGTGAACACCTGGTGGGGGGGGCGGGGATGTGATTCAAGGGCACTAGGAGCCAGTGCATGGTTTAGTCACAGTTTGGATCTCTGGAGGCCCTCACTCTTGAAGAAGCAAGAGTTTGGGTTGACAGTGGGGATTCTCTTCCACTCTTCTGACAGTAATCTGTCCATACAGAGAGGGCGTAATTCCCTTCCTCCCAGGGGGACATGCAGGGCCAGGTGGATTCAGAGAAACTTTTTGGCCTCAGTGGAGGTAGGTGGGATGATTCCATCTGTACCAAGATCTGGAAGGAAGAAAAAGCAAGTCAATCCTAAAGCTGCTAACGGGATGAGGGAAGGGGCGAATGGGCAGCGAACTCCTAACAGGTATGGGGTTTCTTTCTGGAATTAGATTATGGTGATGGTTATGCAAAATTGTGAATACACTAAAATCCAGGCGTCGTACACTTTAAATGGTAATTTTTACAGTAGGTGAATTCTATCTCAAAACATTTTTTAAAAATGTACATTATATGGGGTTTTTTTCCTCCTTTTTTGGTGGGAGAGGTTGAGGAGCCCCAATATTTTGGGCTGTGCAACCGTGGGCTGGTAAGAGCTGGCTGCCTTGCTGAATGGCCTGGGTTTGGACAAGAGGATTCATCTCTTCCCACAGGGTGACTGCCTAATTTTCAAATCTCTGCTTTGTTCTGACTCAGGGAAGAATCTCTCAAGGCACGTGCTGCGAGAATAGCTTTCAAAAGGAGCAGACTCGTGGGCCCCAGAGGCCACTGCCTTCACTGCATCACAGGTGGGAGCTCGAGCGAGGGAGCGGTAGTCCTTCTCTCTCGTTCTGTCAGCCACACTTGGCCACTCCGGCTCACGTCGGAACACCTCAAGAACAGGGTTCCCGGCATGAAGAAGAACACTCCTAAGCCCACTGAAGGACCTGGCCCTTTCTAACAGGAGTGTTTGGAAATTTCCACCCTCCCAGTGAGGATGGAAATTTTGGCTTTGTTGACATCAGCTCCTTGCCAGGACTGCTCCCTGGCCGAAGCTTCTCTTTAAAGCCCACTCCCTAGGGACATGGTCCAGCCCAGCTGTCCACTCTGTCTCCCCACCCCTGCCACCCCACTCCCCTTTCCAGCCCTGTGACGAGCTTTCTTTCCAGAGCTATGGACCCAACTTCTCGCGTGTCCCTTGACCCTGCTAGGATGTCGCGGTACTCTCTCCTCCACCTTACCCCGAAGAGTTAAAACTGGAGGAGCTCACTGCCACTTTGGAGTTATTTTGAGATGCAGTGGGGCTGTTGGCCTGGAGTCCTGAGCCGGGAGATGAAGACCTGCTGTTGTTCCCAGGGGAACAGGATGACGTTACTGAGGATGAAGAGAGGCAAAAACAAGGGGAAAATGATGCTGCTGGGTCCTGGGACCTCCTGACATGGCCCTCAGACATGTCTCCCCAGAGAACTCCCACTTCTCCCTGACTCCCACCCACCTGCCCACCTCCTGCCACGTTAGCATCAACACCCGGCCCCAGAGGGGCTCTCATCATAAATACTCCTCTCAGCGCGGGCCCTGAAGAGCGGCATGGCTGGTTCTGCAGGTCTGAGACTTGCCAAATGCAAAAGGACAGATGCCAAAATCATCCTACTCCAGGACACACCCTGGGCTGGGCATATGTAGCCCCAGACCAAGAGAGGGGAGGGGCCAAAGAACAGGAACTCTTGGAAAGGAGGAGAGGAGCAGGAGAGAGAGAGGGAACAGTGAACAGGGGAGGGAAAGAGAATCTGAGAGCACAGCCTCTCTGGTGTGCCCATTTCCACAAAAAAGATACACAGGCTTCTAGAAAGAGCACAGCCAAGAGAGAGGAGCCCCAAGTCTCAGTCCCTGGCCATTCACTAAGCAACTCTGGCCCATGGTGCCTTGCTTCACTTCCCCAAAGCACATTTTTGTCCTCTGTAAAATGGCAGATTTGGATGCTCATTTTTGGATTTCCCGAACAGCGTTCCGGGAGTAAGGTGACAGATACCTTACCATCCAAGCAAGCCAAGATACTCTGAGGAATGGGAGGCAGTGCGGTCGAACATTATGTCAGGACAAGAGGCAGACACTGGGACTGTCCTGGGCATCTCCAGACAGATGGTCACCCTCCTAGTTCTTTGAAAGTCTCTAAGTACTTTTTGAAAAATAGAGTTCGGTAGGAAACTGGTTTGGGAAGGCCTGCCTTCCACACAGCTCCTTTAGGGATGTTAAATGCACTCCGGTGCTGAGAAGTGTGGCAACTAAGACAGAAAGCAAACACTTGCTTTCATCTTGGCTTCTCCAGCATTTCCCAAACTTACTCGATGGTGGAACCCTTCTTCTCCTAGCACAGATCTTCCTAGCCTTCGAAAGACATTTAAGGAATGCTGACCTAAGCAGTTACCGTTCACCTCTACCATCCCCCTGTTGAAAGGACTTCTGGAGTTATTCAGAAACCCCATGGCAAAGCTCACCTGTTCCAGGCATGGTGCTGTGGACAGGAGGGACAGAGAGGGGGCCCAGAGACCCAGAGGGAGAGACCTGAAAGGCAACAGAAGTTTGTAAATGTCTGTGTCTGCTTCTTTCTCCGATCTTGAGTGCTTCTCCCAGGGTGCCGGGCCCCCAGAGGGCAGACAGCAGGACTCAGCTTCCTTGATGACTGCCTAGTTCCAAACCTACACTTCATCCCCCACTTCCACAAGAAGGCCTCTGGACCACGGCAGCATTGGCTCAGCTCTGGCCTAATCCAGCAGGGGCTGCCCGCTGCTGACACCGGGCCCTGCCTTCCCTGCCGTGGCCCCTGGCAAGGCTCTTCCTCACGGCCAGGTGGGGTGATGAGCGGTGCCTCTCGGCTCCTGCTGGGGCAGACACTGTCTGTTGGCTATCTATTCGCCAGACCCCAGTTCTTTTTTTTTTTTTTTTTTTTTTATAAAAGATCCCTTTGCTCAGGGCAACAGAGCCCAGCAGCTTCCCAGCCTGATGTAGGAGAGGACCCCCAACTCCCCAGAAAAAAACTGGAGGGGCTGAACTTTGGACGCTGAAGCTTTTCATTTGGCCCTGGAGACCTCACAGCATCATCAACTCTGAGATCGGGAAGGAACTTAAGAGGATTCAGTTTAAGCCCTTCAGGACTCTCCCCCTTCAGATTACTCCCTTAGCACAACCTAGAACAAGATGTAATAGGAAGAATGGACTTGGGGGCCCAACAGATCTGGGGGTGAGAACCTGGTTCCACCATAACGCTCCATGTGACTTTGGGCAAGTGACCTAACCCCACTGAGATCTGGTTTTCTCATCCATGGAACAGAGCTAATACCTCCCCTATATTTCCTTTTAATTAATATTTAATGAGATGAGCTTCCCCCTCAATGCTTGACAAAGAGCACCAGGCTTGTTAAATGTTAGTTGCCTTCCTCCCTGAAGTTAGTCGCCGACTGTCTCTGGACGCTGTTCACCTCTTCTTCTGAGCTGAAGTCTGCATACCTTGCCTCTGCTTCATTCTTCTCATGCCGACAGGGCAAGGACAGGGGAAGGACGTTGGAAGGAAGTTCTGCTCCGGGAGCTGGGAATCAATGTTCCTCCCCTCCCTGGTTTGGATCATCCCATCCCAACAGGATGCAGCATGAACTCATTTCCCAATTAATCAGCTGCGGCTCTTCTGTCTTCACTTACTTGCCCATTTACAAGGAGCCTCCTCAGTAGGCAGGGGGCCCACGAAGGGTGGGGACAGGTGTGGGGCCGTGTGGTAAGAGATGTTATCAACTAGCTCTCTCCCTCTCCTCCTCCTCCTCCCTTCCCTACTGGCACACCTGAGAAATTTGTTGTTGTTTTAAAATAAATAATGTATTTAGTCACTGTGACCAGCTTCTTCTGTTTCCTTCTGGAGGCAGGCTATGCATATGCAAGCAGATATATATATCTTGGTATATATGACTCCCCCTTTTTAATTGTTTACATAAATGGTAGCATTCTGCCCACAGTGGTTGGTGCCTTTTTTTTTTTTTTTGGCTTAACTATATATCCTGGAGATCATTTCATATCAGAGCAGAAGAAACTATGTCCTAGTCCCAAGAAGACTGTCCCAGTGAGACCTGAGGAGAAGATAGAGTCAGAACATTTTCTCCCTCTGCTTCCTTCATAACATCACGAGCATGAACGGTCATTACTTATTTAACATCTTTCTCCCCAACTAGGCTGTCGGCTTCCTAAGGGCAGGACGATGCCTGAGGAGTTCTACCACAGTGTCTACTACCATGTCTGGAACTTTGCAGGTGCTCAGTAAATATGTGTTGCATGAATGATGAGAAGGAATCAGGCTCCTTCCCAGGTCCTCTATGCTTCCCACTGCTTTTCTCCATGTGGGTGTCCTGGGTTGGGCTTGAACCAAATTGAGAACCTATTTCCCAAAGCCCTGTGTTTAAAGATTTCAATGCTCTTCTGACATGGCTCCATTTCCTTAACACGCCCGACATAACCTCATCCCCGCCCAGCACTCCTGCCTCCTCATTCACCCTCCCCGGGTTCCAGCCCATTCCAGCCTGCTATGCTTCCTCTTTCCACCCTGCCCAGCCTCAGGGCCTTCGTATACACTCTTTCCTCTGCCTAGAATATTCTTCCCTACACTCTCTCCTCCCTGTGCACCCGCACCCCCATTACTGTCTACTTACGCTTTGGCTGTCAGTTTGAGCATCATTCCTCTGAGAAGCCCCTGACACCTTGCCCTAGGTTAGGTCCTCTAAATCCTCCTGCATCCCCTCTGGAGATTTTATCCCAGAGGGCATTTGTTCAATGTCTACTTTCCCCTCTGGACTGCAAGCAGGGATCCTAAGCGTCCTGTGCACCCCCGTGTCCCAATGCCAAACATTTGGTGGGTACTCAATAAATATTTAAGAAAGGAACCGTGAATGAATATCATGCTGCCTCCAACTTCAAATTTTCAATGGTTCCCTAGAGCTTGCGGGGTAATTTAGTATCTGTGGCCCATTGTGATCCAGCCCTCATCAACTTCTCTTAGTCCCCAAGCCTTTGCTTCAGCCAGATGGAAATGCTTGCGATTCCCCAAATGCAGCATGTTGTTTTATAATTCCGTGCCTTCTCACAGATGGTTCTTTCTGCCTGGTATGTTGTTCTCACTAACTTCTAATTTGTTCTGCAAACAAATTAGGGGGTCAGCCCTCCCAAACTCCGTTCTGATTGGAGTGTCTTTGATCTGTGCTCTTCTGGGCTCCCAGAGCACCCCTACAGGGCTCCTCACATCTTCACTGCAATGTCTTGCCTCTTCTGACTCCTCCTTCTTAGTGTCCTCCCTTGATCCTCTTCCTTTACCCGTCCCTCAAATGCTGGTGTTCCCTAGGGTTAAGATCTAGACTTTTCTCTTGGTTCCTTTGTGCAAACTCCATAACTGAGCTCCTCCTCCCCCAGGATTTCAGCCACCACCTTATGCTTTTGATTCCCCGATCCATGTCTCTATCTTGGCCTTCTCTCCTGACCTCCAGACCCATAATTCCAGGTGCCCAAGGACATTCCCACTTGGGTGTCCCACAGGCTTCACTGTACATTATAAGGATGTAAAGAATGGGAATCGTCCCTTTTTCCCACTCCCAAATCAGCTCCCCCCTGTGTTTTTCTGTTCCATCAATGGCATACCACCTGCCCCATCAACCCAACCTGAAGGCTGAGAGTCAGAGTATTCCCTTTCCTTCATCGTTCTCCTTGCCCCCACCCGATTTCCCATTCATTACCCAAGACCTAATAATTCTACCTTCTAATTATCTCTTGAGTCTCTCCCATCCCCTCATTCTTACCCGCTAGGTTTACTTCGGCCCTCATTACTTCTCTCCTGGATAACTGCAAACACATTGTAGCTGGTTTCCCTACAACCAGTCTTGCGTCTCTCAAAACCACCCTTTATACAGCAGAGTGATCATTCCAAAAGCCAAATCTGATGGTGCCAATGGCCTGCTCAAAATCCTTCAGTGACTCCTCTAAGGCTTCAAATTCCTTAGCATTGCACATTGTCACCTCAGTCTGGCCCTTGCTGGTCTCTTGCAGCCTCATCTTTCAACATCCCTCCACAGGGAACCACCTTTAGTTCTGGGAACGTGTCATACATTCATTCTCCCTGCTCCATCCTACTGTTCTCATACTTTCCCCCATGAGAACTCCACCCTACACTTATTTGCCTCTTCACTCCTTGTCCTTTTAGACTCAGCTCAGGTATTAATTATCTCCTTGGGGAAGCCTACTCTAACCACCACCTTGTAAGGCTTTGTTAGCTGCAACTGCTAAGTTCTCCTCGAGAAATTATCACGTTGTTTTTCATTTGTTTATTTGTCTGTCTCCTCTGCTAGGCAGTGAGATCCTCCAGGACAGGGAGAGATGTTATTTATTTGTGTAACCCTAGCACTCTGCACAAAGATCAATATATAGTAGATGGACAAAGAATGTTTGGTGAAAGAATGAACAATGGTGTCATTTTTATGAGACAGCTATGTTCCACCCCAGACAAGGCTGATTTTTACCCATCTTTGAGTGCTGGAAGATTTGAGGACAATGCCATTGTCCTCAGTTCCCTTAACCTTCTAACCGTATATATCATCCCCAAAGATGAAGAAGAACTTTCCCACCTCTACCCTCCAGGCACTATCTCTCCCTGGATGGAGAAGATATTTCTTATTCCCCAAACTTCCAAGTCTGCCTAAACCGCAAATTATTCCCAGCCCTGACCTCCAGGATCATAGATACAACTGTCTACTTGACACTTCCTCTGGATGCTTAGATGCACGTCTAGCTTAATCTGACCAGCTCCAAATTCGTAGTCTTTTCCCTCATACCTGTACCTCCGGCATTCTTCATCATCTTAAAAAAAAGATGGCAACACCTCCGATCAGTTGCTCAGGCCAAAACCCTTGAAGTCACCTTGGCTTCATTTCTCATACTCCGTATCTGAGCTGTCAGCACATCTTGTTGGCTCCATGGTTGAAATGTATTCAGAATCCAACCACTTCTTGTCACCACCATGGCTACCTTCTTAGCCTAAGCTACCTCTATTCTCAGCCTGCGTATTGTAGTTCTCCTCACCCATGTCCTGCTTCTAGATTATTCTCCACGCGGCAGCCCACCTCAGCCAGCTCAGACTTCTTTGCCCACAGTTCTCCAGTGGCTTACTTCATACAAACTCAAAGCCAGGGTCCTTTCAGTGACCTCCATGAGCTTGGGTAGTCTGCTCTGTGTTACTCCTCTGACTTTCCCTCCTATTCTCTCCTCCTTCCTCAGCCTGCCCCAACTACACTGGCTTCCTTCTCTCCCTCAAACATGCCAGGTCTTTTTACTTACTGGTCCCTCTGCCTGGAACACTCTTTGTTCTAGATAGTTCTTTCCTTCTCAACACTTTGGGCTCCACTCAAATGTCACCTGACCAGGGAGGTCCTCTTTGACCTCTCTATTAAAAAAGCATCTCCCCACAGTTACTTTCAATCCCCTTACTCTTCTTTATTCTCGTTTATATTATGTAGATTCTATATACGGCATATTTTTGCTTATTTATTTATTTGTTTATTTATGGCATGCCCCTCGCAACTCCCAACTGCCATCTTCCCCAGGATGGAGAAGACTCTTTGCCCTCCAGGCACCATTCCTGTCCCTCCCCCCAGTGCTTGGTGGCAGCTTGGTTCCTAATCACTCACCAGGCGGGAGTTGTAGACGGGTGATTTCATGGGTGTGGTCACAGGGCAGTTGATTCGCTTCTCCTTCTGACGTCGGTTGCAGAACCAGACTCTTACCACCTCCTTCTCCATGGACAGCTGCTCTGCAATCATGGAGATCTCCTCGGAGCTGGGTTTGGGGTTCTACAGAGACCAAAGGGATAGAATGGTCAACAAGAAAAGGGAATAGGGTCAAGAATCAGGGAATGGGGGCCAGATGTTCCAAGGAAACAAGATAGAACAAGGGATGGATCAAAAGCTTTAGAATCAGACCTAGGGTGGAATACTGGCTTGCTTTATCGGTTACTGTGTATCCTTAGGAAACTGCCTTAACCTCTCTGAGCCTCAGTCTTACATCTATGAAGTGAGAATAATAATATCTACTAATAGGATTTTTGTGAGGATAAAATGAGAAAATGTGTGTAAACTGCCCAGCATGGGGCCTGCCACAGAACAGAGGATCCATAGATGTGGTTCGCTTCTCTCACTTCTTCCTTCAGAAGTTCTGAAAAGAGGAGTCTCCTGCTGAGTTGGGTGGGGCATCCGAAACCCATGTTCCCCTCATGACCTGATATCCTTTTCTTGTGTTATTACTTCCTGTCCTACCTCAAAATAGGAAAAGATAGAGCCAAAGCATGTGGATCCATCGAGACTGAGGAGATATATGTATTATATATTGTATATATTATATATATACAATATCTATATTATATATAGATATTATAATATATATCTATACTATATATAGATATATATTATTATATATATACAATATCTATATTATATATAGATATTATAATATATATCTATCTATATATATAATATATAGATAGATATATATTATAAATGTGTATATCTATCTATTTCTCTACTCTCTTGTTCCACCCTCTCCCTCCACCCAATCTTTGATCTCAGCCCCTCTCCCTCCTTCCTACACCCCCTTCCCTTACTCATGCTGCTCTAAGAAACTAATCAGCAGGAGAAGCCAGCTCTTGTCATCCTGCCAGAAGTGGCCAACAAATCCTTGAGCCAGATGCCCTGGCAGATTTGCCGGAGTGGGCAGCAGTCTTGGAGGCCCCGGGCCCACAGTGTTCAATGAGGCCAAGGGCACCTCCTCTAGGGACATGTGTGGTGTGGTGTGGATTGAGGCTCTGGAAGCTGGTACCTAAGGGATCCTGATTAGAAGCTGTTTTGACACACCTGCTTTCCCCTCTTCCCTTCCCCAGCTCGATGGGGCACGTAGCTGGTATTATTAGCTGCCACATACTGGCTCAGGAATATGCTTTTGCTACAAGTTCAAACAAATGTATGTATAATGTGATCACAAGCATTTAAATACATGTGGAAGAAAGAAGGAAAGACAGGTAGATGCCATTTGATGGTAGATTTTTTCCCTTCTACTTCCTTGTGTTTTCCTAATTGTTCACAATGAGCATTTACTACATTTATAATTTTAAAAAATACAAATTCATGCATAGAAAGTAAAGAATTTCAGATGGTAACTATACTTATCATGATGAGCACTTTGTAATGTATAAACTGTCAAATCCCTGTTGTATCCCTGAAACTAACATAATATATGTCGGGGCGCCTGGGTGGCTCAGTTGGTTAAGCGACTGCCTTCGGCTCAGGTCATGATCCTGGAGTCCCTGGATCGAGTCCCGCATCAGGCTCCCTGCTCGGCAGGGAGTCTGCTTCTCCCTCTGACCCTCCTCCCTCTCATGCTCTCTGTCTCTCATTCTCTCTGTCTCAAAAAAAAAAAAATATATATATATATATATATATATATGTCAACTATAGGCCAACTATACTTAAAGAAAAAAGAAAGAATTTTATACAGTGCTCTGGTTTACCTCAGTTGAAGACAGAGATCCACCCTCTTCTGGGACCCTATACCCCATTCCTTAAATCTCCCAGTGAGAGAGACACTGGGCCCTCAAAAGATGTCAGGGCAAGAAGGGTCAGTGGGGGGAAGAAGTTCCTGGCAGTCCCTTTCATTGGCATACATGGGGGCCTGCAGAGGGTGTATGTGCTTGCTTTCTGACCCTTTCCCAGGGGAGGTGTGGTGCGCAGGGACCTGAGTGTGTCCGCTCATCCAACTGTGTACATCAGCCCACCCGCTCCCACCCGGGGGAGCCGCTCACATCTTGAAATCTCTTCTCCAGAGTCAGGCGGATATTGGTCTCGATGCTGGTCCGTTTCTTCCTCTTCCTACCGAACACTTCATTGAGGGTGGGGAAAGAGCTGGGGGTGTTCATCAAGGGGTCTGATGGAGAGGTTTCTGTAGGGAGGTGGAAAGGCAAAGGAAGCTCAGAGAAGAGAATGCACTGGCTGGGTCAGGCTCTGTGTTCATGGCCTTGAGGTCCAACACCACTTCCTGGTGAGCTCTGCAGTGGTTCTTTTAGGACCAGCCCCCACCGCCAGCAGGAGAACTGGAACAGGCCAAACATCCTGCTTCTCCTCCTGGCTCTGGGCAAAGGTCCTCCGCGCCTCCAGTGTTTGCAGTCATGGTTCAGGGACACTCGGCCATCGGCGGCATGGGTAGGTGTGAGTGGGTGCAGGCAGAGCTCCTACAAGGAACGCTCGGGAGTCTGTCTTTTCCCCAAGGGTGCCTGGATGCCTGGACGTGAATACTGAGTAAAGTGGGAAGTGGTGTTCTGAGCTAAAAGCAATGATACTCAGTGCCAGAATTTGGTGTGGATGTCACTTTCTTTTCAGTGTTTAAGTGTTGGAGCTGAGGCTGTAGGGCCGATGGGCAGGGATACCCCTCAGGAAGGATTCAGGCGTCAGGGAGGGGGTCACACTAGAAATGACTTATAAGCCCTCTTCCCAAAGGTCCTCAGCCCCTCTGGTCATCTCTCTCACTTCGGTGACCCGAAAGAGTTGCGTAAGGGACAGCCTGTCGGGGGCAGCTTCTTTGCCCCTCCTATGTTCACATGGAGGGACTTCTGAGAGGGTAACCCCCTTGGCTGCCTATCCTTCCTCTCCACAGTAACCACTCGTCCACGTGTATCTACTGACTAGAGTCTGGCCCGGCACAGACCCTGCTCCTTCTCTCTCTGCCCACACCGCTGGTTCTCAGCCAGGGGCGATTTTGCACCCCTCCTCAGGGGACACCTGGCAGTATCGGGAGACATATTTGCCTGTCTCAGTGGGAGACAGGTGCTGCTGGAGTCTAGTGGGTAGAGACCAAAGATGCTGCTAAATACCCTGCAGTTCACAAGACAGCCTCCTACAACAGAGAATGCTCTTGCCCAAGAAATCGATAATGCCGTGGGGAAACCCTGTCCCACATTGCTCCCCGACACCAAACTCTTCCATCCAGTATTCCAAACACTTGGCCCTCAGCTTACACCCTTGACCTCCTGGAATGCCTCCCAGGTCACCCTGTGGACTGAATCCTGCTAACCCCACTCCAGCTGGAAGCTTTCCCCACTAGTCTAGCTCACCGTAACTCCCTGCCTTCTGAAGACTTACTCAAGATTAGCCGGATAAAGGGCTTGTGTTGTGTCTATGGCCTCCCCCTCTCCCCCATGAGACCCTAGAGGACCCACTTCCCTATCTTCCTAACCTAGACATGGTCCAGAGAGCAAGGTGGATACGTGTGTTCGCTCTGGGGTGCTGCCCTAAGGTCTAGACTGGGTGGGTCTCTGGTGGAGAAAAGAATGGGGCCAAGTCTTCATGGGCCACAGACCTAAAGCCATGTCCTCCAAAGGGCCTTCTCAGGAATGAAGCCGACATTTCCATCTCCACTTGCCTGTCTCCTGTGTCTTATTTCTCAAATGGTTCCAGACTCAGGAGAAGAAGGGGTCTTACATAATGACTACCTCAAACCCCAACACAGACAAGCCACTAGCCCCTTCCCTGCAGAATCGTCTAGGGCACTGTCCACCCCTGTGTCTCCGCCACCTACCTGCATCATGCAACCACTTCTCCAGCAGCGGCTTGAGCTTGCACATGTTCTTGAAACTCAGATTGAGGGCCTCAAATCGCGAGATGGTGGTCTGGCTGAAGTCATTGCCATAAAGCTTTCCCATCGCCAGCCCCACATCTCCCTGCACGTAGGGATCAAGAGGGAGAAGCTGGAGAGACAGGCACCTTCTTTTCTTTGTCCCACCATCCTAGCACCAACCACGCACACGGAGAACCTCCAAGCACCCACCCATCACCTTGGCTCCTTTCCAGGTGTTTTCCCTCTCAGGGGGGAATTTGGTTCATTTCCCTCCTCAGACTCCGAGTGGGCTGTGCCCATGGGCCTAACCCCTTGACTGGCTCTCATTCCTCCCCTGTCCCCCCACAGTGTCCTCAGTTTCCTTACCCACGACAACTGTGCCCTATTCTCTGGGGACACAGGGACACGATGGGCTTGCCCCAAGTACATCGAACCTCAGGTTGCTCCTGAAACATACACTCGGGAAGCCCCGTCTCCACTCACTCAACCTAATTCCTTCTTGCTCCTTGCAAACCAGACCTGTGTGAAGCCCAGCTTAATGCGCCTCTGCTTGAAGGTCTTGGCAAACTTTTCCAGCTCTTCCAGGTCACTGGGCTCATCAGCCCCTCCAGAGCTGGGTAGATGCTTGGGCACTGGGAGATGCGGGGACGCTTCCAGATGAGGTTCTAAAGAAGATCCTGGCAGCCCGGGGCGCCCAATTGCCTAAGAGGGAACACATGCCGAACAGATCCACAAATAATCAACTGATCAAATGGCATTTTCTGTTATTGTGTATTAACAGATCCACTTAGAGGATGACAGACCCCTGGGTACACTTGATTCCTGTTTTTTCAGTGGTGTGGAAGTGAGAACTGAGGGTTTCTATGAAGGGACAGCAAATAGCTAGAATAGTTGGGTAGAAACAGTAGGAGTGCAAGACAGGGAGGTGTCCTTTCTGGGTTTTAGGCTATGACTCATTGTTTGACTCTGAGCAGGTAACTTCCTTCTTTCAGTTTTCCACCGTAAAAGGAGTTGTTTACAAAGATTCTCAAAACAAATCTCAGAATGGGATGGGGAAAAGGTTGTTTGCCTTGCCTGTTCTTTTCCACAAAGCCAAGTAACTGAGGTGTTCAACAGGCATTAACTGAAGGTAACAGAGGACATCTGAGACTTGTTATATTAATGGAATTTCCATAGAATTTTAAACTCTTGGGACTGCCATTATACTTTCTACCCCATCCTTTTCTTTCATGAGAGTGTTTCGTTGTTGTTGTTTGTTTTCCAATCAGAGGTATTCCAGTGCCATCTACATATAGCTTGATCTCATTTACGGTTGTCAGGAGATAGTCTTCCTTCAGTGTATTTTCATAGAAAAATGGACCTTAAAACCTGGAGTCCATGTTGTGCCCTTTTGGGGTCAGGAGTGAATCCAGCTCCTGAAGACATCCATCGCTCCACAAGGAGCAAATCCCAGGCCAATGGGGCCAGGCACCGTGTCCAGTCCCGGGGCCAGTGCCCATGTGGACAACTTGGTCCAGGTCCGCCTTCTTTTCTCCCTTTCCCAGCTCACTCTTTTTCTGGACTGGGGTTAACTTTCCTCCTTCTCTCCTCCAAGACATGCAGATTTACCACTCAGATGGGCATCCTTAAGAGGAGGAAGGTAAAAGGACCAGAGAGAAGTGAAGGACTCGTTTCCCTGGTGAAGGATCTTTTAGAACAGAATGATTCAGAAGCCTTATGGATTTGATCCTGCTTTGCAGGGTGGGGTGGCCCTCAGGGCAAAGCTTCAGCCCTCCTGAGACTTCCTTTTCCTTGATTCATTTGTTTTGTAATCTGACAAATACTGAGTTCTTTGCTAGACCTTCTTCTCCTTCCCTTTCACATCCAATCAGATGCCAAATTGCATTCCTTTAACTTCCGCAAACGTCTCCGTGTTCGCCCGCTCCTCTCTATTCTTATTGCCACAACCCTAAGCAAGTCCCTTATTACCGCTGCCCAGGACGATCTTAATAACTTTCTGAACAGTTTTTTTTGCTTCTTATAGTGTAAGATGTAAGAGTTGATCTTAGGCCTCTATAAGATCTCTTCCAGACTAAGTCTATGATGATGAGATTCTGAGTCCTCAGGAGGAAGTGGAAGAGTTCAGGACTCCCGTGTTCCCATTCCTATTAGCCACTAGATGGCACCCTCTCCCCTTCCAGATGCCTTCAGTGCCCTCTCTAGCCCTGGAGAGCCAGGGTCCTTAGTGATGCGTGGGGGATCTTAGCCCAGAGAAGGGACACTGGGGCTCTGCAGTTGTTCCTGGCTCTTCTGCACGTCTATCCCTGCAGCTGTGCAGGTTATTAACTGCACGGGGGCACCCTGGTGAGGGGAGGCGAGGCAACCCCCATACAGCTCCTGCAGCTCTTAGCAAGCCACACACCTGGCATGAGGCTGCATCTGGCCAGAGGAAGGGGTTCCTTCTAATTGGCAACCAGGTGCTGCGTGGAAACATGGCAGCTCTGCAAACTGCCCCCTCGCAGATCGCAGACCTGCTCACCCGCACATGCGCACACACTGCAGGAGGCAGTCTAGAACAGTGGGTCTTGAGAGGGACCCAGAGGCGAGAGACTGTGGCCTTGCGGTCTTGGGACATCAGGCCTATGGGACTCTGGTCTCCTCCTTGGGGCTTGAGAGCACCCGTGGCAGGGCTGGGGGTCACCGTGGCATCCCTGGAGAGTTAACGGACCCCTGGTCCTAAGGGGAGTGAGTGAAGCCAGGGCCCATTCAAGGCTGGAGTGGAGGGCCTGCACTACAGAGCAGGATAGCCTAGGAGCTGAAATCTCTGGGCTCTTCTTCTGGCTCCGTGGGTAATATTGGGTCAATCATTTCTCATGGCTGTGGCTTGTGTTCCCCAAGTGTGAACAGGGATAATCCCTTGCTAGTCCCTCTTCCCAGAGGGGTACGTGCCCCATCCAGGGGGTGGGAGGAAACCAGTGAGCTGCTCTGTCAAGAGCTGAGGCATTCCTGGAGGAAACAGGAAGAATGTGTTTGTTTACCTGGGATGCCAGGCCGGGCCCAGTCTGTGGGAGGAGGAGAGAGCTTTGTTGCTGTGGAAAGGGGAGAAGATTTGGCTGCAGACCTGGGTGAAAGGGGAGGGACAAAGGAACAAACAAATAAAATCCAGGCCATCTGAAAGACATGCTCCACAGCTCTGGAATGGAGATAACTGTCCCCACCCCCTGAGACCTGGTCAGGTCCCCTCAACCCACCCCAAGCCCCACGAACAGGGCCCCCACAGGCACGGCCCTGGCATTGCCACACACGGGTGGAGGTGAATGAGACATGGGGATAAATATGTAAACAGCCATCCCCAAACCAGTCCTTCCGCTCGCCCGCCAGCCTGGATTGGTGCATGGGCCGAGGAGGCTCAAGGCAGCCCACTCTGGGATCTGATAACCACGCCTAAAGAAATCCAACAGGGAAGGAAAGGCTGCTGGAGCTGAGGTGCTGATGAGTTCCATTGTGCCTACAGAAATGGGCTGCAAAGGCCTGGGCAAGTCTGCAAGGATGCCCGACCAAGTGGATGGGGCCAGACAGCTCCATTGGCCAGGGGCTCTTGGCAGAATGAGGACATTTTCTACTTGGGAGGAAGGTCAGAGAGAGAAGGGAAGACCAGGGGCCAAGCCTCTGGAAACTATCTGGTGGTATGGCCTCTACCCATTCCTTGTATTGCCTGAGGACCACTTTCTCCTTCCCTCTCCGGGGAAATGGTCCACGAAGGGCTCTGCCTGGTTGCTGGTCATGACTGTGGCCTCCCTCTAGGAAGGGCCACAGCAGGGAGCTCTTGCTCTCGAGGCAGGAATGGAGCCATCAAGCTACCAAAGCAGACAATGGGGCAGGTCGCCCAGATCACTCAGCACAAACCCGAACCTTGGGGTGTCTGTTGTCCCTAAGCTGCTGCGGGCCACTGATGTACCGATCTGCTGATGCTGATCTTTATGCTCCCCAGTCTGTAAAAGGCAGGGCTTAATTTTTCCTTATTAAAATAAACAAAAAACTCTTATAAGGAGCTCTGAACCGGGAGTCAGAGGCTTGAATACTAATAGTCATCTAACATGTATATTGCATTTTGAAATGTACAAATGCATTTCATATGCATTATTTCAAATAACCCTCAATAACCTTGTGAGGTAGAATTTTACTCTTATTCTATTTTTTATTAGTATTCTGTTTTGTTTCATTTTACTTTGTTTTTATTCAGAGAGGTTAGGTTAACTTTCCCAAGGACATACAGCTAGTAAGTTATTTTTTTAAATTAAAAAAAAAAAATTCAACCAATGAGTTTTCTGACTCCAAATTTTGAGGGGTTTTTGTTTGTTTCTTTGTTTCTCCCCCTGTATCATACACTGTCCTCATTGGTTATATGTCTATGTCTGGGCCATTTTGATATCACTATCTTCTAAAGAGGAAGGGAATTAACTGTTACCTTCTCTTTCCTATTCTAGGAGTATGATAGACATTGCTTGGCTAAAATAGGTACTTAGAGGTTCAAGTATGTTCTTATTCGTCATTATAAAAATGCTCTGAGATGCCATGGAACCTAGGGATAGGGACTGTAATTCGGGCAGGTGGTAGGGACAGAAGACAGAGTTGGATTCTGGATTTCCAAAGCCTCTACCTGGGATTCGTGCACTGGTGGAAAACTCCTACTCCCTCCCTCCCTTGGGCCAGTTGGTAGAGATGAGAGAGAGAGAAGCAGTACAGGGCAATGGCCAAGAACACAGGTTTCAGACAAATTTGCAGAACTTTATTATGTCACAGGAGACATAGTATGACTATCTACCACACAAGGTTATTTTGAAAAATGTCAGGAAAGTCACTCGTCAGAGCTCCTGGCATATCATGCTCAAGAAATACTAGCTATTATTATGAATATTCTAATTTGTTTGCTCCTGGCCAAGGGGACCTTCTCTGGTAGCCATTTCCCTGCCAAAGAACACCTGAAAACCCCCTCTACAGCCTGTGGGTGGCGCTGCAGCTCTACCCAGACAGAATCGCAGCCCACTTTCCGGAGATGAAGGATTTCCAAGGAATTGGGACTTGCCCGCCCTGCAGATCCCCAGGAGCTCCTCCTCCCTGTACCGCCGCCCCTCCCCCTGCCCCCAGCTCCTGGCTACCTTGCACCTCAATCCGTACTGACCAGGACATTGAGGAAGACAGAGAGGGAGAAGCAGAGAAGGATCCTCTGCCTGGAGGGGCAATGCCGGGGCGTCCCTCCCCCAGGTGCCGAGGTAGACAAGCTGGTCTTAAAGCCAGAGGGGTGAGCCACTCACCCCATGCCCCACACTTGGGCTCACTCATCCAGCAAGCAGTGGCGGCACGTTGCTGGACTTGGCCGATGTGGGAAACGTCAGCCAGGGTTCTTACCTTGCTGCCCAGTTTGGGTCTGAGATAGCAGGAACTGGGATACAGACTGTAGGTGGCCAGGAACCAGCACGAGCTGCTGGAGCGGATGGAGGGAGGTCATGTCCTGCACATGGGGGGAGGGGGGGGCGGAGCACAAACATCACAGAATTTACACGCGGGGGGTGCTGGCTCCATCTGTCCCACAGGGTCTCCAGACTTGGAGACTTTGTTGGCAGTGACCTTGCCTTATGCCTCTGCGTAGCTCAAGTCCCTGGCACGTAGTGGCTTTTCCATTAATGCTGGCATTGTTACAGCTTCTGTACTCAGCCAAGCAGTGCCTTGCAGCCCATCGTATTTAAACTTTGCCTTGTTATTCAACTTTTGTGTCTGTCAGTCTCGTCTCCCAACTAGACCGTAAAGGTCGGAGGCACAGGCTGAGGATCACTCATCTCTCAGAGGTTCGCCTAGAAATGACATGTAATCCCAATCGTCTAATTTTGTTTTTTTAATCTCACGCCACTTGACTGTGCTAAAAGTCATGTCTTGGCCATTTCCTGGGCCTGAACCTTTCCTGGACGAAGGAGCAAGTTATTAGGTCTTAATACAAGCAGTTTGATTAGACAGAAAGTCCGTGTCCCCTGGGTTCCTCCCACCAGCTCCCAAAGGGTAAATACCAATCTCAATGCTTGGGGGATCCAGACCCCCAGGCTCAGTGCACAGAGACGGGGTAAACCCCTGCTGGATGAAGAAGAGAAGGAATGGATGCACATTCTAATCTTAAATCTTTCTAGAAAAGGGGTAGTATTTCTTCCCCAGGTCATCCAGACCCAGAGAGGGGCTGGCCACATGGACATCCGCCCTCTCAGACACTTGTCGTTACTGTTTCAGGGTGCCTCCTTCTTCCCCCCACAGCACTCTGTTCTAGTTTGGCTTTGATGCAAAAGCTTGAGGGAGGAGAGTGGGCTCACTGGAGACAGATCTGCTCTATATCTGTAGCAGTGTATGTCAGCATAGGGCTCCCCCGAAATGGCTGGCAGACACCAGCCCCCTAGCTGCGAGGTCCGTTGTTTTGGCAAGATCGGCTTCCTTTGTCCCAGAGAGGTAGAGGTAGCCAGGCTTTCCCTTTAAGAGGGCTCCCCTGTCATCCCACCTCCACCCCAGGCCTTCATCCCTTCGTCACATTCCCCCGCAGGGCGGTTTTTCAGACCAATCTGGATTCACTGAGAGCCAGGTCTAGAGGTGAAGCATGTTGCAGAAGGCTTGAATTAAACTCACTGGCCCGCTGAGACTATCAGGGCTCCCTGGCATGGGCTGGCATTTACCCCGGACATTTGGTTTCCAGGCATCATGGCGGGTCCTTGACTCAGGTGGCATGGCCGCTGCGAGAGGGTCTGCTGCAGGGAGTCACTGAGGTCCTCAGTTTTAATCTGTATGTGGAAGCAGGAGGAGAGCATCAGTTCTGGGCCTCCCCCAGGCAGGCAGAAACAGAGACTTGGAAAAGGTCAAAGTGGATGAGTGACAAGCCCAGAGAGTAAAGAGCCAGCTCAGTGCCTGTGGTGCCCATGGGGCTGCAGCTTGATATTCCTGCCTGCTTGTGCCCTTCAGCTGGTAAGAGAGAGGCAAGTGGTGCTCTGGAGTAACAACCTGTAAGCGGGTGGGGAGGGATTCCCTGAGCTCTATCATCCCCTGGCACCGTTCGGCGGGCTGTGCCGGGACGGAGTGCAGTTTACCCTCTTGCTCAATGAGATGAGAAAAACTAAGTATATTGTAATGACTTCAAATATTTCTTTTAAATTCTGAGATGATGTTCTTGTTTTTTCCCTTAGGGGAGATGTTAGAATTTCTTTTGTGAAATGATGCTGATCTTAAATTGTGTTTTATTTTATTTTTATTTTTTATTATTTTTTCTTTAGTGCTCTCTATACGTAATGTGGGGCTCAAACTCACAACCCTGAGATCAAGAGTCCTATGCTCCTCTGACTGAGCCAGCCAGGCACCCCCTAAATGGCATTTTAAAAACTCCCCACCTCGCGGAGCCTGGGTGGCTCAGTCAGTTGAGCATCTGACTCTTGGTTTCGGCTCAGGTCATGATCTCATGGGTGGTGGGATGGAGCGTCTGTGTCGGGCTCCACACTCAGTGTGGAAATTGCTTGAGATTCTCTCTCTCCCTCTCCTCAGCTCCTCCCCCTGCTTGCACTCTTTCTTTCTCTCAAATAGATAAATCCTAAAAGATAAATAAATAAAAACTCCCCACCTTATTATGTAAAAAAAAAAAAAAAAAAGAAAACCCTTGACCAATCTTCCCCATGCTCTGTTTTTTATATTCCTGGTCCACAAAATCCCAAAGTCTGGGAGCCAGTTTCCCTTCCATCCCCAACTTGTTTTCCACAGTTATCCATCTTCTGCGTGCTCAGCTGCCTCTTCGCCCATGTGGCTTTGGTGACAGTCTTTGCCTGTCTCCCTACAAGTGGGGACATGTCTCCCTCATAGTCACTACTGCAGTTGCAGCCCGAGGGGCCTGCGATGGCTTCTAAACCCTCTCTAGCCTCTATCCACCACAGGTGGGTGGGTTTCCCAGGTGTCCAAGGGCAGGGCAGGATGCCACCCCTCCTCCCACCCAGGGAAAACTTCCCTCTGGCAGGTTTTTGGGAAGTCCACTGGAGAGGGGGGAGCCAAGTGACTGAATTCATATAAGATGACAAAAAGCATAGGATCTAGACCATACCTTTTAAAAGACAGTGGGGAGACCCTCTGATGGAAATTCTTGGCCATAGAACCATTTTCTTGGTCTACACTGGGAGTGTCACTGACATCCTAGAATCTCTCCTGTCTTGGTTTAACCCAAGTTAAAGGTTCAGATTAACAGCAAAATTTGTGCTTCATCACTGCAGAGAAATGGTCTTTGGATCACAAAAGAAAGATTTCCCTTTGGCCGGAGGGCTAGGAAGATCCTACTGAGTGACGTCAGAGACCAAGAAAAGAGCTAGTGTCCTAAATGTGGTGCCTTGCACATAGTGGGAATTCATGTGAGTTAACTGAATAAAAGACATAAAGAGAACCCATCTCTCTAGAGTCTCTGGTGGGATACAGTCAGGAGAACATTGAACAGGGAGCTAGACCCTGCTTCTAAGTCCTAACCCCGGGTCTAACTTACTATGCAACCTCCAGCCATCATTTAGCCTGTAGGAGACTCGGTTTCTCCATCCGTTATGATTCTATATGATTTTTCTCTCTTACAGTCCTAAAATGGAATTAAAAGTTCCAGTTCCCTAGTGCATTTGGCAGACTTGTCTAGTCCAGGTTGCTGTGATGTTCTTAGGTAAAGCGGACCTACACAGCACCAAAAAGCTGGGGTTACACCAAAATTGGTAAGAGGGTGCTTCTTCCAGGGACCATCTTTCCAAATCACTCCTCTCTTCTCTCACCTAAAGAGACCTATCCTGGAGCCTTGGAAGCGGAGAGGAGGAAGGGAGAGAGACCGGAAGTCGCACAGTGGGGACAGAGAGTTGAGACTTTCTGAAAACTCTAAAGGCATGGCCATGTGGGAGGGATTTCCAAGACAGCCCCCATCCCTACCCCCCAGTGCCCCTCAGCTCTTCCCACCTACGCTTGGCATCTCCGTTTAAGAAGCTCTGGTGTCCTAGTTCTTCCCCTAGAAATTAGAGTTTTCACATCCTAGATTCCAGGGAAACATTTGTTAGCAGGTTTAAAAAAGCTAGGAATAGATAAGACTACTTATTTAAAACCACCAACCACCACCACCACCCTTAAGGTTTGCTCTAAGAGATTTTACTGAAACAAAGCCTTTGGGGACCAGCCTCCCCTCCCCGCATCTCCCTTCTAGATCCCCCTCCTGCCCCAGGGCATCGCTCATCCCGGGGCATGGGGGGGGGGGTGGGTGAGGCAGGATGGAGGAAGGGGGACAGAGGGAGAGTGCGGAAAGTTGGAGCCAAAGGCACACGGGTCCACTGCGGGCGGCTTGGCAGAGCGCCAGCTCAGAGGCAAGTGGCAGGGTTCCTTTATAGACTCATTATGCGCAAAGGAGATAAGAAGGTGCAGCTATGACAGAGCTCAGAAACATGTGCTTTGCCTCCAACCTGAGTGCTATCTGTTAGAATCAGTGCCAGGTCTTCCTGCAACACTTAATTTCAGAAACCAGCGCCATCATAAAAGAAAACGCACCCTTTCATCTGCTTCCTGGATCAATTGCCCTCCAAACCCTTTTAGGGGCACTGCCGACCTCCCAGTTCTACAAATGAAGCAACTGATAGCAGAAATCCCTTTGGGCGTTCATCTGGGGCGTTCTGACAACCCCCTCCCCACCCCAAACCTCATGTGTCATTCTCCTGACATTGTGCTTCACCAACATTTTTCTTCCTTCATTTTTCATACTTCATTAGCCTTTGGGTGTGAGTGGCTGGCAGTAACCCCGAAAGAAGAGAGTCCTATGCAAGCCAAATTGAGAGACACTAAAGGAGATTCCTTTTTCGAGGACGAGTTCTTAAAATCTCTGCTTTGGTGGGTGGGTCTCAGAAAGAGAGGAAGGGAGGAAAGGCACATCCAGGGCTCTTCCAGCCTCCAGCACACTCTGGCAATTCTCTAAGAGTCCATGGGCTAAGAAACTACAAAATTAAGAAACAAAGCCCTTCCCAAATCAAAAAATCCCTTTCACTGCTGTCGAATGGAAAAGATTGGAGCCTTTCCAGGCAACTGGGTGTTGGCTGTGGATCTGGATGGTGAGATAGAGAGGCTTCTGTTGGAATCCCATTGACTTCTAATGTGAGAACCCGAGGCAAATTGGGTGAAAATCCAATTTCCCCCGTACTTGTGAAAACCCAACCAAACCCACAGCCTGCCTGGAATCTCGAAGACTGTCTCCAGGGTCCCTTTGGTGGCTCTTCTCACGCAAATGGAATCTCTCTCCAGGCCCTGCTCAGGACGGACTAATCCTTGGGGATATGGGCTGTCACAGAGGGCTCTGTCCTGTCACAGTCACTGACCATCCTGTCCATGTATTAGATAAGTTTATTAGTTCAGAATTTTCTCCACCCACTGCACTGTGCACAGGTATTACACTGAGTCTTGGGCAGTGACCAGGGAGGTAAAAAGTCATCATGCATGATTATCTTTTCTAATCCCAATGAACTCCCTGACATCACCTGCTTGAGAAAGCAGTAGCCTCCTTCTGGGAGGAGAGAGCCCCCTCTGAGGAGCTGGAAGCCTTCACACATTCCTACTCGGCTTCGCCTCCCAGCCGGGGGGGTGTGGGGACGAGTATTTACCTTCCCATCTCATGGAGGCCCAGAGAGCTTCAGAGATCCGTATAAAGTTACATAACAAGACACTGGCAAAAGTCCCTTAAGGGAATGATCCTCTGACTTTTTCCTGGTGCTCTTTTTACAAAACAGTACTGTAGACTTCCCAGGGATAGGAGACAGCGTAGACTATGGGTGATGACAAAGGTGGTGTTCTGGCCCAGACACACCCGTGGACCTCCTTATGAACCATCTGTTTTGGGGTCATGTGATGGGGCAGGGGGTGCTGGGGTACTCCTCCTTAGCCCCTCCCATGACAGTTTCACATGGTTCTCTCTGGGGGAAACAGCCCAACGCTAATGAACAGATCACTGGCAATGAAGACGATCAAAGCTGTTGTCTTGGTTGCATAACTCGTTTGTGGAAAGTGTTTCATAAACATTTCACAAGAAGGAGAATTTCAAAGCGTGAACATCTCCCAACCTGCCTTCAATTACAGGCAAGACTTTTTTTTTCTTTCTTTCTCCCCCCTTCTACACTTCTCCCAAGGAAGTAAGGAAGAGTTTCTGTTTTGTAACTGATCTCTAAAGGGTTGGTAGCAAACACGTTGCTCATGAAAACATCCTAAAAATATATTTCAAGCGGTGGAAGGGGGCAGGCAGGTAGCTCATCTCAGTGAACAAGGCTGAGAGTCCCCCAGGAGATGTTGGCTGTATCTTCGCTTGGAAGGCCCTCCTCTTTCCGTCATTCTTGGTTGGTTCCTGGGAGTCCAAGACTCCTTCCTCTTCAGATGCCTCTGGGAAGTGCCTGGGGAGATGGCCTCACCCATTCCCTGGTCTCTAGTCGGACCTACGACAGACCGGCCTAGATGCACCTTTGCCTATGGACACTGGGATCTTCTTCCTGACTGCATCAAACTTCTAGGCAAAGGAGGAGAGGAGACAGGGGCCCTTGAATAAACTAAGAGCTTCTTAGGAAGCCTGGGCCACTTGGAGTCGCCACCTCCTGGAAAGAAACTTTTCAAAGAGGCATCCTTGTTTTTCTGGCTTGCACCTACTCTGGAAATGCAACAAGCATTTAATGCTTTGGCTTCAGTTCTTAAGACCCAGCATTGCTAGTGCTGACGCATGTGTGAAAAACCCCATCATTTTAAACCCATAAAAGTTTTCTTC